AATCCATGTCACCTCTCGCCCAGAATACGGTAGATGACCGAATCCACATGTCGAAGCGGTTCTCGTCGTTCTGCTCGCATTTTCTATTATATTTTAAGGTAGTACTTGAAATTTAGCAGATGGTCATCGCAGAGGCCGTTCCTGTGAAACTCAAATCAACTGCTACTTGTTTTGTTTCTTTTGATTCGAAGATATTTCTACATCTTTCGTTCCCTTAATATGCAAACAGCATTTCAACATTTAGAAATGAGCGACGCTGAAGACGAAGGAGTGCCTAACATCTCTTTAAAGGTAAAGACGACAACAGCTGCATATGATGTGCAAGTCAAGGAGGATGCAACAGTGTCTGATGTGAGTTGACCATAATCAGCTACCACTTTTCGTATCTCTATATCTTCCTCTGGAAGGTATATACCGTCTATTTTTAATATTTGCCTTTTCCCATAGATTCTAGTTGTGGTCTTTAAGAGACAGTAAGATTGAGTCCAATCTTTTTCCAGAGAAAAGGATAGGACTCAATCCTTGAATTCCCCAGTAAACTTGTATCAGTTCAAACAAGGTAAAGAGGACAGCCTGATAGGGACTCGAGTAATGTAGGCGCAAGTTCTTGAGAATCTTTCGTGGTTTTGCAAATGCTTTTCCCTTGTTTGTCCAGGAAAACCCAGTGGTGTATTTAATTGAAATTCATGATCGTAATCAGAATTATCGAACTTCTTCTGCTTGAATTCAGTGTGGTCGCATGTTAAATTTGAAAGTTAAGTCTATCATGGCTATTTTCTCTGGTACACCACTTGGGATGGCAATTAAGTGGAGTGCTACTGTCGGAAGCTGATTCTTCTGGGTGTATGTTGCTTCCTCAAATTCCCTTATCCATTGGGCTCTCCTTCAAAGAAGAAAGCCAAAAGCCGATTTAAATTTTTTAAATGTCTTCCGCTCGTTTAACCCTTTAACTCTTCGGCGTGTGCTGAGATGAATATTCCGTTTCGACATATGAGCATGTCAAAATGCATTTTTTAAAGCTTTTTTTGAAGTGATTTGGACGCACTGTTTAGCATTAAAAGTCATTCCATTCGACGATCTCCAATTGCGTCCGCT